CCCTGCCTGGAATAGCTCATGGCTTCACTGAGTTACGCAAGCCCCTTCGCCATGACAAGGCAGTGATCCATGAAGGGGAGCCAAAATGCATCACTTCATAAATTAACATAACACAAAAGTTAATATTTGTCACAGATACTAGTAAGTATCAGTCATTCAACTGATCTGTGGCAAAGCTAAGTATCAGTTCCAAATTGTTGTCAACACATTCCTAACTGAGACTATCAGATAGATTTTATGACCACCGAGAGATCCATGCAATTAATCTCTTGTGTTAACAAATTTCAGCTATTAGCTGACACTTGACGCCCAACTAACTACAATTTCATGATGCTCCAATGCACAGGAGAGAAAAGTGGTAATGCATTAAAAAAAACAGTAAGATAGCATGTTATGGTGCTATTTAGAAGATCTGATGTGCCTTTTCAAAAAAAAAAAAAGAATCTGAACTGCTTGATTAGAGTCTCTATTTCCAAACTAACAGTACATTTCCTCTTCCCACCCCCGATCCTTTATTTGGTCTTCCAATTTGGTCATTCACCAATGTTCTGCCTTTAGTGTTTGCTGCACTGCCTAGCACACCCTGGGAAGTGATCTTCTCCTAAGGGAACGTGAATTGTTTGTTAATTACTCATTCATTCTTTCATTCCATAATGTTCATAATCAATAAACACCTTTTTCCTTCCCTGCCCCCTCCCCTCTTTTATTTATTCATTGTGTATTACAAGCAGTTTTGTTAGGAGAATAGGAGTGAAATACTGAACATATGATGATTAGTGGCCCAGAGCAGATATACAAGTTCTGAACAGTAAAACCAGCTAAGTCAGCAGTTGTGGTTAATACATACCATAATTGCTTCCTAAACTAATAAATCACATTGTTCAAGAGATTTCCCTCCTGAATAATGCAGTTAAATCTTTCTCTCCCTTCCTCACCACCATTACTTTAATGTTCATTATCTATCTGAAATAATTACTGCAAGTAATATAGTCTATGGCATTTTAGTGCATTACAAAAGGGGATGAGTAAAATTGGACAAACACAACAATGCAAAATATAGAGCTATACCACAAGTTGCATACTGACCTTTCTTATTACAGTATATACGGTATTTATTTGTGCCACAATTGCAAAGAGAGGGAAAAACCCAAATATGATGAGCTCTGTATCAGTCCTGATAGACTGCGTCTCTAAAGGTAATCAGCAACTCAGTACTGCCCTTTATGAAATAGCTTTTCACTGAATTGCACTTAAGATTGGATTCCTAAAACCTCAACCATGGTCACAGGTTCTGCTGTAGTGACACCATACCCCTAAAAAGGCAATCACTGGACACAATAGCAGGGACGAACTATGGCTCCCATGTTTTGCTTGAAGTCCTCTATTTTACCACAGTAGGAAACAAGATACCAGACTCACCTTCAGTCCCATTCAACATGGCACTTCTCTTACAACCCAAGAATACTATTTGTGCTTGAGGTTGTTGTTTGATTAGAAACCCACAATACTCATAATCATGGTTGAAATTTATATTTGTTTGCAATCACATAAAGGCAGTGTGGACAAGAAATTCTAAGTTCACTGATATTCATTCTTTGCCCAATAAAAGGCCCATGCTGACCCTTTATTTCAGTTATCTGTTTCAGTCTTCAGATATCTTCATGTGGAACTTTATTTTGGGGTATCATGGTTTGATTTGGTCAACTGTCTTCCTTACTAAGAAATACTCCACCCACTTTACAATGCTGTATTTCTAGGTATCTTTATAAATATATACAGTGAAAATGAAACAAATGGATTTATTATATTCATTAAAAAACTTCAGTTGTCTGAAGTTCACCAATGAACCACATCAGGATATCAACCAGGTTACCTTGCATAATATGAGGAAGGACCACTGTTTATTTCCAAACTCTTTCATAGCTGAACAGTTTAAAAGTACTTAAAAGCATGTGTTTTACATGTTTTCCCCCACCAAATTAACAGATAAAGTATGAGAATTTTCTAACTTGTGAAAGCTGCTGGATATCTGATTATCAACCACTACATTTATCTGGGCTCAGCATTTCTACTGCATTATGAACAAGCCTCCAAATTTTATATCTGGAAAAGTTAGAAATGGAGACCATGAAGTCAAGTCTGGATTTAAAAAATCGGGTAATCAAACAGAGAAAGAATACAGAAAATACATTATCTGAGACACAAAACATTTATTCTGCCAACATAAGAAGGTTAAAAGAACAAGAAACAAAATTACATCTACCTGTTCTTTACTTTTCCAAAGTTCAAGAGTATTCACATGAACTGTACTTTTAAACACCTAGTTGGAGAATAATCATACTAACCAAATTTAATTTTAATTAAATATAAATGTAAACAAAATACATCAAGTTTAATTTTTGTCCCCAGCTCCATTTGCTAATTTATAATGCAATCTTTAGCATGCTAACTCAAATGCCAAGTACATCCCTTAGCAGTAAAAAGATTATGCATGCCTGCTCTTGACTCTTCCTGGAAAACTGTAATAGTGTTCAATATTCAATCAATTTCTGATTAATTAACAAGAGGAAACTTAGACTCCAAGCTCAATTAATATCCATCATGCTTAGCAAGTGGCCAAATTATTATTGCATTGATTGTTGCTAGAATTTAGACCTTTTTTGGTTGTTGCATTGCAGTACATTTGTAATGTGACAGGCTTTCAGATGTACAATAATATAATGGCTACCATATCTACCATTTTCCCTGGCAGGAGTCTATTAGATAACATATTTCATGTAGTACTTAATCCAACCTGCATTATCAGAGTCTGGATTACCATATGATACAATAAAACATGCTCGGTCTTGGAGTTTTGAAATCATGCTATTTCTCACTGATCTCTATTCTGTCCTAAACATCCTGTAGGCACTTAGTTCTAGATTCTGATTTCAAGGTGGGGGGGAGGGGAGGGAGAAACCTTGGAAACATGGCATTTGTACTTCATCAATTAGCACATAAATAATTTAGGATGAATGAACACCAGGAAAAAATATAAAAACTGAAGCTTTCATGAGGGTAGGATTTAATACTTAAACCCCTGAGGCATGAGGTTCACCTCAAAATAAAAGCCAGCATTACAGAAACAGGACAGACAGATTTGTAAGATGCAAAGCCACTGACTATTACCAACTGTAAGAAATACAAATTCTTAATACAGACATTTTCTTAAAAGGGTCTATTATATCACTAGAATTGAACAGAAATTATTTAAAGTACTTTGGGTGTAGATTTTAGCAAGAGTATGACATATCCTTCTTTCATCAAGCTTCATGTTTCAGTAAGCAAACAATGTTAACTTATTTACAGTATGACAATCATAGGAAATGAAATACTGTTTATTTGATCAAAGACCAGCAAAATTTGAAAAACAACACAAAATTAAAATCAAATGGGTGAGATAAAATACTAGCATAACAAGAAGTCTTTATAATAAAAATGTAACATACGCTACTACAATGGTGTGTTGATTACCTGTGCAAATGTAAATCTAAAATATTCCAATCTATGATGTAAAAATACATATCACCTAAAATAAGACAGCTAATATGTAGTACTCCGAAGTGATGAATAAAACAGAAATGGTTATTTCTGTGAGCAGTTATGCCTTATTTTCAATGTGGCAACACAGAATTTAGCTGCTGCATAACTGATAAAGGGTTTAAAATCTTCTAGAAGATGGTTCACATAGAAATTGTCTGGCCTTCCTGGAAATTTACATATTATGGGCAGAATATAAGCAGGCCTAATATCCCTGTAGAATTTACAGTGTAATATTACATATTATATTTTTAAAAATTCACAGCAACTAACTTCAAATATGCAAAATGACCCACTTTGCCAAGTATCTAGTGCCATGCCTGAACACACAGATGCTTTAATAACATGCATTAATTACAGTAGAAAAGAAAGTCCATTATTGTGTATTCTTCAACTGAAAAGAAAAATATATAGGAAAAAGGAGAAGCTGAAGCAAAGGACTCGGCCTACCTGAGACAAGTGAGACTGTGTCTTTCTCCCATGAGACAACAGTGATGTAGGCCTCCACAGAGGAGGGGATAATGCACTTGAAGACCGCTACATTGCCTCTCATGGCTTTCTGGTCCTCCACACGGACTGTATATGGTTCCCGTAAAACTAAAGCACAGAATGGGAAGGAGAGTCACACAAATAAACCTCAGCTAGATAAAGAGTACAGAAAATGCATAATCAGACCCAAGAAACCATAAGCAAAACACTCATTCTGTCCACCTGAAATGAACTGAAAAGAAAAAGAAACAAAGTAAGGTCCTTTTATTTTCCAAAGCCTTCCAGGCAAGTTTGTCCAAGCCAAAAACCAACAATGGAATCATATTCCACTATAGTTCTCTTCTAATGGACCTTACCACATTAGATGCACTCAAGATGAAGAAAATTCAACAGATGAATTAAAATGCAATCAAAGTGAAAAATGAATGTACTGGCTTTTTTTAAAAAAGCATTTGCCAGTTTCTTATCATAAATCTAGAATCTTGAAAAATGATGTATCCCATTAACCAATAAAATATTCATTTTTTTTCCTCCCGTAATTATCCAGGGGCCCATTTTATTCACTTTTATGCCTTTTGCTTCATGAAACCATTGAGAGAGTTCTTTTAGAGTGTGTGGATTGGACTTGACAACTAGTTGATGACACTTAGATCTATTTTTATTTTTTAATTCACAGGGAAAATCCTGGAAAAATCTGAGTAAATGCCTAGAAACAGTGGCAGAATGGTGTTATTCAGGGACTGAGATTAATTTTTGAAATGGATATAGAGAATTGGTGGTCAAATTCTCAAGTGTATCAGGAAAAACATATTGTTGTTTAGTGGGCAACGTACAGTTTCTTGGAAACTCTATCATCCTAAATTGAATCTACATTGACTACCTCATTTCCTTGCTATCCTTGAGCATCTGACACCTGCACGTAGACAGTTCCAACTTGTTCAAGTAAATTATGCCACTCTATTCAAACATCATAGCCTCCAACCTTACATGGTAATGAGGATTAACAAAACTTGGCATCTGAATCCTTATAAAACAACATAGAATATCCATGTTTTATTACTAAAGCAAGGCTGTTAAATGGGTATCAGATTGTAACATAGATGTCCCCAAAGATTTGTTTTAGTGAGTGGGAACAGATGAAGCAAAAGAGAAAGCTGTTAACAAAAATGAAGCTGTGATAATTATTATTGTGGAAACTCATCCACAGACCCCAACATAAGCATATTACTGGCATATTGGGACTCTGTGAATTCTTTCAACACACATAAGGCCAACTAGCATTATTTAATTTCATATTTGATTATTAAATAATATTTAGATCTGGAAATAAAATACAGAAGTGACTTATTTTTCCATCTATAAACAGAAGGAAAATATGTAACACTGTACCATTTCAGAATACAGATGGAAAATGCATGTGCTAAAAACTATGTTGTGTATCTCCCATCCCTCCTTTTTAGATTTTCACTTTTTATATATTTTATACCTTTTATACTAATAACATTTTATGCTTCTTACTAATGACTGTACCCATCCCTTTATGACCATAATAAAGATTGATTTGATATGTTACATATCTGTTGCATATCAGCTAACCTGTTTGATTAAGTAATGCAGTCCCTATTAATATTCTGAAGCAATGAAGTATCATGAGAGTTGCAGTTCCTTAAGTTCTGAACATTCAGATTAGCTCAGATTTTTTATTGCTCTTTGTTTTTTTCCTCCTATCCTCTTACCTATTAATTAGATTTAAATTCCATCAAATGAATTTCCTATTCCATCATTAAAATATTTAAAGAATATCATGCAGTAGATAACACTGTAATTTTTTTACAACCTTCTGAATTCTTAAATTTTTTTAACAATATTAGATGTATAGCTGTTTCACTTCTTCCTTCCTGTTGGACCTTTGAACCTAGTTGGTTCAAAGAAAATACAGCAGAACCCAAACTAAGCAATTAGTTCACGTACCCCAGCTTTCCAGAACTTGTATATAAAATACTTTAATAGTAACAATGATAGCTAATTCCTTAGCTAACATATTAACTATCTTAGGATAAATAATTTCTCAGTAAAATTATTATTAAGATTCCCATCATGATTATTAATGCTAGATCCACCCTCTATGCTGACAGCCTAAGCACGTGCACATGTGTACTGGTTTCTTTGCATACATCTACACAGGATAGAACTAATAGTGTGGCAACACATCAGGAGTAGGTTTCAAAAAAAAAGCTCCCACTTCTGCTTCATATGGAATAAAGAATAAAGAATGTCTGACTACATGCTTCTCTCGCCATTATTCAGTTTCTGATTTGTATACTTTTCTTTCTACTCTTCCAAATCCTTCTTTAAAACTCATTACTTCTATCGAACTTTTCCTGAAAGTATCCTGTCGTGTGTAATCAGTTCTTCAATTCCCACCTGACTTCTCCTACTTAATCCACAATACTGCTGATCAACTCTTGACCCCATTCCCACATTTCTATACGGATGATCTATCATAGATTTTTTTGAACGAGAATAGATCCGCCTCTTTAGGCCGTAATGTTGTCTACTATAAGTTTCTGGTGCTGGACTTCAGCTCCTATAATCATCCAACCAGCACAACCTATGGCTATTCTGACTACATGTTGTAGGAGTCAAATACATCTGAAGGTCATTAATTTAGACAAAATCATATTGTAATTCAGAGCTTTGAAATACTTTTAGCAGCAATATTCAAGGAAACTTACCGGCCTTAATGTGAACATCCTGACTTCTGATTTTCCCTGAAGGATTTTCAGCTGTGCAATAGTAAGTGTTATCATGGATTAAGTTATTAAAGCTTGAAGGAGGGAAAGGGAAAATTTGGAGAGTGCCATTAGGGTGGACGTGGCGAATCCCTGGGACATCGTAGATCTCCTCGCCCGTTGCTAGGTACCATCTGAGCGTCACAGGAGGGATCCCTGCTGCTGGACAGGGTACCAATGTCCCCGTGGTGCTAGCAAACACTACCTCTTGCAAAGATGCATTGACAAAATATAAGCTGGCATGTAGATCTTCACCAAAAACTGCAAGATAGAAATAGAAATGCACAAAATTACCATGAGGCAATTCTCCTCACCATCATGTTCATCATGACTTTTTTTCAATACCTGAACTTTATATTATAAACATTGATTTGAGGGGGAGGGATTGCAACCTGCAAATAAATTATGATATCTTGGCAAAACACTATAAATTAAGTCAATTAACTCAGAAGTGATTCCAATAATTCCAAATCAGAGAAGCAAAGTATAGGATAACCAGAGACAGTTTTCATTTTTCTAAAGCATTTCCACTAATACTTGTCAATGATTTTTTAGTTACTTACATTTCAGTATTTGGATTATTTAATCATCTTGGCAAAAATACTCAAAAAGCTCTTCTCAATGTACAGTATAACATTTGAGGGTTCAGCACTCTGGACAGAGTGCAAACTCTGCCACCATTCACTGCCTACAAGCAGCTTTCTCTGTAAGGCTCTCTGAGGATTCTTCCAGAATGTGGTATAGATCCATCAATTTAATGATGGCAAGCTCCTTGGGTGAGAGAAACTAAACTACATCTGTTCCAGAACTGGTTTTATGCCGCAACATCTATACCACTCATACTCTTTTCTTTCCAAGCAATAGCTGTTCATCTTCCTATTTACAACACCCATTAAACATTCAAAACGTTCAGAACCCCATCTCGTTATAAATGAATGACATTTGTTAAATGATCACATAATAAGAGACAGAGAATGCATACCAAAATTCTTCATCACACCACCCCGCATGAGTTGCAGCTGGAGAGAGCTTGGAGATAAGCATTCTCTGTTGGGGTTCCCAACCTATGGAATTTAGGAATCTTCCTAAAATGAGAGCACCTTCCCCTTCTTGATATTTCAGATCAGTAAAGATCTGGTTGATCACAATGTTCTGGGGGCAAAGGAGCTTAAGAGAACTATTAGTAGATTACCCTGGGATGAGTGATAGGTGCTCCAGTAGTGATATAATTGTGTTTTATTTTTGCACTCTTATTTTTCATACATATTCTTACTGGTTATTCTGTTGTATTATGTGATGTTTGTTGTATTATAGACTCATAAGCCACTTAGATTTATCTGAGTTAAACGGTGTAGAACTAACAGTATCATTTATTGCATTTATTTATTTATTATTAAATTTGTATGCCACTCATCTCCCCCAAAGGGTGATTCATCATCATTATCATAATCTGTGGGTCAAGATTCTCACATGCAATGACTGATACAATCAGTACATGCAAATTCAAGAAATTATGTAGGCTTACATTAGCTGCACCAGAACTTTGCTTGATTTCTCAAAGAAAATATTCAGCTTGAATACTTTGGGGAGTTCAAATCTGAGTGTATAAGAATATGTAGTAGTGTACTCTACTATGCAGTAAAACTAATACACAATATATCGTAGGGCATACAACTACAACTCAGATGTTAATCATAACCTTTCTGGAGTTACATAAACCATTTTGCTAATAAGATAACCAAGCAGGCTGGCAATGAACCTCATCTGCTCCTATCTCCACAAAGAATTACTCTTAGCTTCCTCCTCTCCTTTCAACTCTACCAGTAAGAGTGATTCTACCAGGAATGCAGGGTCTTCGTTGGAGGTCACTGGAACTATCAAGCCTCCCCCAACTACTGTGCCAAGGTGATAATGAACTTGTTGAAATTTTCACATTTCTTGTTCAAACAATTTAGCCCTGATGCTTTTATGATATATTGCAAATATCATTTGAAATTCATTTCTAAAAAATAAGTGTTTGGAGTGCCACAACTTATTTCTGGAAGTTGCATCCCCAAAGTGGGACATAATGCAGCAGGTATGAATTATACTACACTTTTAAACATGATTCCTTGGCACCATTTAGTCCTTTAGCCCACTTAGCCAAGATCAATTATTTCCTCTGTCTTCTTTGTTTCTACTTCTCTCCACCCTGTGTGTTATGTAGGCAGCAACCATGGTTGTGAACTTAGTCAATGGCAAGTGACTTTCTTCCATAGTGCATAAGGCTGCCATTTTGAAGAAAAGAAGCCTGTGTCTATAGAAAGAATTCCTATTCTAGTTCAGAAAAAGGCCATATATGATCCCTCATTATGAACATTCTAACCATGTGGGCCAGGAAAACTATATACACAACATCTTGTGAGCCCTTTTCTGGTAAGCTAATGCAGCAGCTCTTAGCCGGAGGGCCCCAGCTGTTGCAACAGTAACTGCAAGAATTCCCAGAAGCTACAATCACAACACATCCAATGGCTGCAAGATTGGAAAGACTAGACAATTTTTCTCTACCACTTCATGTATAACACTTGCAAACTGCAGATCTTGCCTTAGGGCAGCAAGATTGGTTACTGATTTTAAATTTCTAGTTTCTGCCAGAGATAAATATATTCTCTTTCACTTTTTGGTACACCTTTTCAACCTCCGAGGATGCATATCAGATCAGTTTTACTACGACTTTACAGTATGTATACATGTGTATGTGGGTGTGTATACATAAATACATACACATACACACATTCATTCATTCATTCATTCATTCATTCATTCATTCATTCATTCATTCATTCATTCATTCATTCATTCATTCATTCATTCATTCATTCATTCATTCATTCATTCATTCATTCATTCATTCATTCATTCATTCATTCATTCATTCATTCATTCATTCATTCATTCATTCATTCATTCATTCATTCATTCATTCATTCATTCATTCATTCATTCATTCATTCATTCATTCATTCATTCATTCTTTATGGTACTTTAGGCAGACATCCGCCCCTTATTTAAAGCCATTTAAATTTAAATGTTCAAAATTTAAATTAATTCATATTGTTAAACAAACATACATTTTTTTATTTTAACTACTGTAACTGTACTATTGATTTCTTAATGTTTATTATCTCTTAATCTTCTCAATTTTATTCTCTTTTTGGATGTATGATTGTAATTCTCCTTTTGCATGATCTAAATTTAATTTAGTTCCTTATGAAACAAAATTTTTAAAAGACTACAGCTGTGATTTTATTACCTTTATTTTTAGGGTGTAACACTTTTATAGCACTATAATCTGCTGTTAAAGTAAATACTGGGTATTTTAAAAGTTATGCTTGTTTAGCTTATAAAGATATCAAAGTCTGTGCCACTTGAACAAAAACACAAGGAAAGGTTTGATTTTTCTCAATTCTTAATTTTAAATAAGAAATAGAAGAGGGCTTCCTGCCGATAATTTCACACTTCCTCATGTTCTAGTCCTTATTTTCCATAGTCTGTGTCTGCTATGCTTTTATTATTTCCATTGAGCCAAGGATGCTTAGAAGGTTTTTTTAAGTCAATCAAAATAAAGTGATTAAACCACAGAACTATTCAAATGAGTTCATAAATCAGCTGTCAAATTAACAGTAGACCATTTAAATTGCAAAAGCCATTAGAAAGCCATGAAAAAGTATAAGAGATAGGATTTTGTTTAGCTTCTTTCCAAATGCACACATTAGAAGAGCTGTATATAAAGCTTGGGGGCAAACACTGAAAAGGCCCTGAGGCTACCTTCTGAATCTGAAAAAGTAGATGGAGTTCAAAAAGAGCCTTCAACAATCAACTGAATTTATATCATTATTTATTGGGCTTATATGCCTCTCCAACCAATACCAATACTGAAATGCTTACATTCCCTATTTTGTAAATAAGTTCAAAAAATATAAACAATGAACAAAACATTATACAAAGCACAGTCTAGCAACAGAAATAAATAATTTCAGTTAACCTCCAAATTACAAAAGGGAACAGTTTGCAACATTTCTTCCTCTAGGGTCTGCTGAAAAAGTTGATTGATGGGGGGGGTGCTGTTCCAAAGAAGGGAGGCAGCAATAAAAAGGCCCACCTTTGAGGCTCCTGATACTGACAATCCCTGAGTGAAGGGACCTGAAGAGAGCCCCTTCTATATGATCAGAAAGGAAAGAATAAGAATATAAGGTAGTCCTGAAGATATCCAAATTCTGAACCATGAAGGACTTTAAAGGAGACAGCTAACACCTTGAATTGACCCTGGTAACCAATGCAGTTTGTGGTGTCACATGGGCAAATCCTGAAATAATAGAGCTGCTGAATTCTGGGCTTGCTGTACATTAGGGAAATTTAGGTAGAATGTATTGTAACAGTTGAAGCAAGAGATGACTAAAGTATTAGCCGCTGAGGGAAGGACCTCCTGTTCCATGAAAAATCATAGTTGTCACACCAGTTGGACTTCCACAAAAGCCGTCCTTGCCATGTTTGCAACCTGATCCTTGAGCAAGATGAGAATCAAAATAGACCCCTAAGTTATGAACCAATTTAGTACAAGGGAACATGACCCTGTCCAGAACTAAAGTTGAAATATCCTAGGATATTTAACAGATAGCTTCCTCGCTCAAAACCAGTCTATCTTGCTGAGACTGAACCTAAACTTCTTCTTCACCATCCAGACCTTAACATCCTCCAGGCACTAAGATTAATGGTATGCGGGAATGACCCTGGGAGACAGGGGGAAGAGCACAGCCAGGGGAATGGTCAGAGAAGAGGCAGCTTAACCCACAAAAGGAATGTTGCACGATTGATGTCAGCCTAGCGAGGTAGCCGAACTAGATGGACTAATTCTACTTTACCATAAGATTACATTAACAAAATCTTGCAAGTCTGATAGTATATTCCTCCCCCTTCACCTTTACAGCCCAAGAAATTAGGGAGGATCCCACCCGAGACATTTGCTATGTCCACATTCCTTTTGTAGGCTAAGCTGCCTCTTGTCCAACCGTTCCCTGGCTGTGCCTCTTCCCCCTGTCTCCCAGGGTTATTCCCACATACCATTACACTAAGACAGAATTCAACTGCTTCAATTTTTCATTGGAGGTTGAGATATAAAGCTGGGTATCATCAGCATACTGATTATACCTAACCCTATACTGGCAGATGAACTCCTCCAGCAATTTCATGCTGAAGACAGTGGAAAAAGTTCTGAATCTTGT